GGGCCCATAAACTCTGCGGCCTCGTCTACAAGTGTGGCCCCGCCCCCGCCGCACACAACATTCATTAAAAGACTTTTTGTTATAGTTTTGTTATTCTCTATTGTTATAGCATACGCGAAGCGCCGAAATTTTTCATCTGTGTAAAGTAATTTATTTAATCGTGTTAAATGCAAGACAGGAGAATCTTGCTCCAAGTGACATAGTAAAATATAGTAACAATTCCTACTGATTTTAGTGTTAACTTTGTGTATAATTTATTTTGTACATTTTGATATGATTTTTTCGGAAACTGACAGTTGATATGTGAAAATATGTGAAGCAGTATTTATAAATTTAGTGTACATTACTTATGTGTAAGGCTTTTCTCAAGTCTTAATGTAAATATGTCTATATTTGAATGTTACTTGAGAAGCGAGTCTGTTGCATTACTTGAGCTTAGTATGTACATAGTCAATGTCTGTGTATGATGTACCTTTTGATGAATGGAAGTTAGATGTCAGTTTCATCAGTAAATTAAAAAAAATAAAGCAATAATATAACTCATGAAGCCTTTTTTTTATCTTTTTTCCAATGTTAAATATGTACTGTGGAATTTCTGTGACCTATTAGAAAAAGTACTGCCTATTTTTGAAAACTATTTTTAGTATTTTTATTTAAATTTAAATAAAGTATTCATGTCTACAAAATTTTCTTTAAGAGGAACCTTGAAAAATAAATTACATGCCACAGTGGAACAAATTTACATTAATTTTCAATATGTTGCTAAAATTAAAGATTACACAAATTGAAACTCTCAGTTATGTCAATTTTAAATGAAAAATATTCAGTAAAACTGATTTCAACTAATGGTTAGGTTTTTGCATACAATATAGTTTAACAACTGTTCGTAGAACTTAAGCTGTGTGTAGCTTGAGTGTGAAAATATTTTTAACATGGATAGAAAATGAAAAACAACTGATCTATTCTAACAAGCCTGTATTGAATAAAAACAGAATTTACACTTTTTACATTCTCACCTAATAGATGTTCCTTCATTTATCTTTCACAATGGTCCTTCTTTTGAATAACATGTTAAACAAAAAAACTAGACACTAAGCAGAATCACAATCTTAGACCAATAAGTAAAAAGTGTATTTTTAAATCACATTTGGTCTAGACTTGAGATTTAATTTAAAAACAAAACCCTATTCATAAATGTCTTCTTTATCTGCAATATACTGAACAATATCTTTGGGCCTCACCAGCCTCTCTGCATCACCATCAGGAATTTCAAAACCAAATTCATCTTCCATAGCCATGATCACCTCCACATGGTCAAGTGAGTCCAGACCCAAGTCGGTCATGAAGTGGGACTCCAAAGTTAACTGGAATAAAGAAAGTATATTTTATAACCAAAACATTCATTTTTTGCACAGTATTTTTACCAACTTTCAAATCATTAAAGAATTTGTTACAATTCTTTGTCAATTAGTTATGAATTAAAAATATCTTGGGATAACGCTTTTAAATTTATGGAGAATAAGATATTCAGTTCAGTATGAATTAATAAACTGCTTTATATTATGGTAGAAATAAACTACCTCATCAGGTTTAACTTTGTCATAAAGTTGGAGTACGAGCAGAACTCTTTTCGTTATTAAGTCTAGGGTAAGTGGAGGCCCACCACTGTAGTTGCGGACGCAGATTTTCCCGGTCTGAAACAAATTATAAAAAACTGCTCAGTACCTTTCTATTAGACAGTTTGTCGTAAGCCTTGCACACTTTCATAACTCGATCTTCGATTTCCCGCGGCGATAGCTTAGCCTGAGCACCGGACGAGTACAGTCTGGTACACACCTAAACAATTTATGCAGTTATGTACACTTTTGTTATGCAATAACAATTTTGAGGTTATACTGCGTTATGCGCAAAATAAAAATTAAGCGTTGCCCTTGGCCCTAAATATCGTATCTTAAACATAAGCTAGGGTAAAAGTTAAGCAAAATAAATATAATTATTGTATTGATTGGTAAGACCCTTACCCCATTTTGCACTTGGTAGTTTATCTTAGCAATGGTTTGTACGGTACGGAGTTTTTGTACAGCGACTACTGTAGATAGCCGACATACGACCGGAGTTCTGTAAGACGTGGATTTTCGTAATAATCCACCAAAAGCACTACGAACAATATTCGCAGCAGCCATGTCGCTTGAATTCTATTTCTTCATAGACAAAAGAAGAATTCAGAATTCAGAAAATCGACAGCCGAGAAATGTCTCTTCGTAGATTATAAAATTGTCAAATTGCCACAGATAAAATATTTGATCTCTTCCTTCTGTCATGGTCACGTTGTCTCCGACTTTTCGTCAAACTCCACTGCTCGTTGGCTGTCACTTGTCAAATTCAATTCGATTTGTTTTGTGTGTACGTATGTTGGAAATGATTTTATTGTTATTAAATTATTAAACAAATATCGAAGATGGGTAACGCTGATACAAAATTAAATTTTAGAAAGGCTGTAGTTCAGCTAACATCTAAAACACAGGTACTAAAACACTTAATGTTTGTATTATTTGTGTCGCTCGATATTTTTATGAATTATATTTATTTGTAGCCAATCGATGCCACCGATGATAGTTTCTGGGATCAGTTCTGGTCAGAAAGTGTAACAAACATACAAGATGTGTTCACATTGGTTCCTGGTGCTGAAATACGCGCGCTGAGAGAAGAATCGCCAAACAATCTGGCCACTCTTGTATACAAGGCCGTTGAAAAAATGGTGAAAAATGTAGACAATAGCTGTAGAACACAGCGGGAACAACAAAACGGTATGATAATTATTTTTAAAGGTAAAACTCTTTCAACAATTGAATTTGCAATGAAAATAAAATCAAGTTAATTGAAAAAACATGTTAACATGCTTATATCTATAAACCGTGAAATAATAATTAGATTAGATAATTATATAAACATGGGTTTCAAATATTGAACACAGATTCGAAAATGTACCATCACTTACACACACCATTACCTTTGAACAAAAATATAACTAAAGGTTTTCCAACTGTGAATATTTATCATAAAAAAAAAACAATAATACAATATATTACCAAGATTTCTAGGATTAGGAAACTTCAACAATGTTTGATCATCATCAACTTGGAGGGTTGGCACAGTATGTGCTGCTCTTCCATACATCTCTATCAGCCATCATATCTGAATCCACTCCTTTCTTAAGCATATCCTCTTTCACACAATCCATCCATACTTTCTTCGGCGATCCTCTTCCTTTGTAGCCGTCCACATTCATCCAATGTAACTAATAATAATAAACATTATAATAAAAAGAAATCCTTTGGCATTCTCAGGACATCATAGTATCGTCAATTTATTTTAATAAATAGACCAATTCTTGATAAAATGTTTAGTTTTGAAACCAGTAACAGAAAATCATTAATTTTATTGATAAATTTCCAGCATTGAATTGTGCTCGATTATTGACCCGTGTGCTGCCATACATGCTGGAGGAGCCGGAATGGCACAGCTTCTTCTGGTCTTCCCTGCCTGCTGCTGGTGAAAATGAATCTGTGCCTCTCGCACAGTCTCTTATCAATGCCATCTGTGTAAGTTATTATTACATGTAAGATATGTGTGAAGTTAACCAATCTGGAGTAGGCTTGTCTATGGCTACTAAGCCTGGAACATACACTGAAATAGAGATGACTACATCTCTATTTCAGTGTATGTTCCAGGCCCCTCAGTGATGACATATTTTAACCAAATTTTAACAAATAAAATATAATACTATTGATATGATTTGTTAGAATACAAATACTGGGATATTTTTCAATTGTATAAGAAAAATGTTAAAAACAAAAATTAATTTACTGCTGAGTAAACAACTGAAAGTTGAATAAATAATTACTTAACACATGTTCATACTAATCAGGAACATGTTGCACAAGATTCAATAACACAGAATTGTTATATTATTTATTGTTTATGCAAAAAACCTCACAATAGGGTAGTGTAACATTTCATAATGTATCTACATTTTATTTGTTTATAGAGAAATTTAAAAAACATACAGACGAATTGAGTACCTCCTTCTTTTGGGAAGTCGGTCAAAAATATATGAAGTACCTTATTTTATCAAAATGGAGTACTGAAGTATTAATAGCATCTTATTTTCCCTGTATAAAAAGATTTTGTTGATGTTTTTTTCATATGATCAAAATTATTTACAGGATCTTCTGTTTTGTCCAGACTTCACAGTGACCAGCACAAAGAGATCCGGTCCTGTGAGTATTGATTTTGTTGATAACTTTTTATCTTATCTTCTCATTTCTGTTTGTCATTATTGATCGCAAAGTTCATGGCTTTAGTGCAAGTGTAACCATAGACAAACTGACTATTTTTACTAATATTTTCTAAAATATTGTAGCTTACAATTTTTTACCCCTATACAATATTACTGCAATTCTTCGCACAAATATAAAGTAACTGTAAAAGTTATAATGGTTTCCATGGATTTCGCTTTATTCTTTACTTAACTTTGCTTTTCTATTAAATTAAAGTATGTTTAAGTTGACATGTCAATTGTAAGAATGCTCTTGTACCTGACGTACCAAAATGTTACCATTTTGGTTTTTGAATATAAAAAAAAACCTTTAAATATACTGGATGCATTAGTTTATTCCTCTTTGCAGCCTTTTACTATTTTGAAAGCATGGAGAAGGAAAGTGGATTCAGTAGAAAATAGGATGTACAGTAGAACCACAATAACATAAAAACCTCTATAACTTCAAAAAATAATAGGTTCCCTTCCTGTCAGAGCCCAAAACCTCTATAACATAGACCCTTGATAACTTAAAACCTCTATAACTTAAAGTATTTTGTGTTTCCCTTGGACTTTTGAAGTTAAAGTAAGTTTAAAAATTTCCTGCATATACAGGAAATTATCTTTGTACGCCCCCCATAGTGATTAAATCTACGGCGAATTCCGTTGGCCGGGTTATTCACACTATAAAAAGCCACCAAAAAGTCATGACCTATATGGTAATAAAGGAGCGTGCAGAGGAGCTTTCTTCGCTGGACAGCTGCGAGTACATCTGGGCCGGCGGGGTGGGGTTCGCGCGCAGCCCGGCGCGCAGCACGCAGCAGGAGGCGGCGCGCGCGGAGCTGCTGCGGCTGCTGCTCACCTGCTGCAGCGAGACCGTCTACCGGCCGGCGCACCTCGCTGCAGCACATCATAATAAATGGATCGCGTAAGTACTACCTTTACTTTATGGGTATCTAAGATTAAATACGCGCCTATACGAAAGATTTCTATTTTTGTATGTATTGAAATAACCCAAAAATAACTGGGACTTAAAATTTCTCTAAAAGCTATGTTTCCAATGAGTAATATAAGCTATGTAAGATGGTCTGCGCGCGAACCCCGGGTTGGGAACCACGCGCAGATACAAAAAATGTTCAAATACCGGGTAACCGTCACAGAACAGCAAGCGGTTACCTGCTGAATTAGGCCGTCACTACCCGCAAGCGACCTAATTCAACTACGCTACTTTGCTATTCTGAATAAAATTAGTCACAATACAGCAAGCTAATGTACTCAGAATCGCGTCGTAGGAACTAAAGTGGAGAAGACAGTAAGTGTTTTCCCTTTACTTCTCTCATTTGCGTAATGTACATGAAATGACTTAACCTAAGGCGCATGTGATACAACATCGTGTTTTAAAATACAGGTGGCGCCATCTAGTTTTGTACGTAAAAACTACTGGTTGCAGTAAATGTTTGTTACAGCTATATTTTTATATATTTTTTTTTTTATTGCAAGCGGATGAAGTCGAAGAAGCTATTTTTTAACTGTCATGATATTCTATCTCTAATTTATTTTCTTTCGAATTACTATAATTTTTTTTGTTTTTTTTTTTCATTTTTTGCCAATGTCTTTTCTTCTACAGACATCAGTGATAAAATTAAGCGTCATAAAATTTACAGTAATTTGCTCTGTTACATTTTAAATTTAAACAGTGTCGACGTTAATGACCGCCATAGGTCTACAAAAAATGACGACGTTGTAAAAATTTTGCCCAGGACGCTATTATAGCTAGAACCGGCACTGAATATATTTTCTTTCTTCTTCTATTAAATTAATAATTCACCTTTCTCTGTTTTTCAGATATTTAACGAGTTCAGAGAACAGACACGCGTTGCCTCTGTTCACCTCTTTACTAAACACGGTGTGCTCATACGACCCGGTCGGCATCGGCCTGCCGTACAACCACTTACTCTTTGCCGACACGCTGGAGCCGCTGGTGGAGGTACCATAAATAACCATACGGATACCATAAAGAAACCATAGACTATCGATTTTTTATTTAATATATTTCACAGGTGGCGTTACAAGTTCTCATCGTGACGTTAGACCATGACACAAATAACGTCATTAATGGAGATTCAGAGGAAGTAAGTTATTTTTATCTTATCGATTTGTTTTATCTTTGAAAACATTTATGTGCTGAACAATTTAAGAGTAAACGAACTAAATGGAGTTTATGAAAAAGACGTTTCTAAACATAAATGGTTCTTTTTACAATTAGTTCCTGATATTTCTACGTAGATTCCGCTAGATGGTGCTTATCACAGTTTGTTTGTCTTCCCTTAATTTATTTCACGCTTCGCTAGATGGCGCTTTTAACACTATTTTAAAGAATCTTTGTCATAGATTAATTTTGTTGCAGAGTCTCCCAGACAACTTATTTATCAACTACTTATCCCGCATCCATCGAGACGAGGACTTTCAGTTCGTGCTGCGCGGCGTCACGCGGCTGCTGAACAACCCTCTGGCGCAGACGTACCTCCCCAACTCCTCGAAAAAGGTGGCACTGCACCAGGAGCTGCTTGTGCTGTTCTGGAAGATGTGCGACTTTAATAAGGTAAAAGATTTAGGGCTTCTCCCACCTCTGGCTGATAGAGATTCAGATAGCTTAAAAATCACGTCACTGTCAAGGGAACAAAATCGGTTAGATTGTTATCGGACAATTTACAATTTGGTGGGACAGGCCTTTAGTAATGCAATAATTTCTCTGCAAGTAAATTTTCATTTTTTTCTCGTTTGTATTTTTTGTTCAAATTGTGTTGCAAAATTTAAGCGCCAATAACCTAATGGTTTGGGGTGGGGACTACCGATCTTGCGGTCGAGGGTTCGAATCCCGCCATTCGTCTATCGTCGTGAACCATATCCTAGCACAAGCCTAGAGCTTAGTTGGAATGGTCAAAGGAAATATTGGTCAAGTAACAAAAATCTACCAATATTTCTATAAAAAAACGTTTTTTTAAGCTGATTTACGGTTTATTATTTGTGTTTAAAAGAGATAAAGATATTTTGTCTTTATTATGTTTTAGAAATTCATGTACTACGTGTTGAAGAGCAGCGATGTGTTGGAAGTGTTGGTGCCTATCTTGTATCACCTTAACGACTCTCGCGCAGATCAATGTAAGTTGATTATATTGTACTAGCTTGCGCCAACGCGAGTAAAAATTCAAAAAGCATAACCTAAAAACTTCTGGACCGATTATTAAAATTTCTTTCACTATTAAAAATCTACGTTATTAGTGAGTAACATAGGCTTTTTTAGTTAAATGGAGACGAAGTCGCGAGTAAATTAGTAGTGAATAAAGTGTAATGTGACTAGCTGTTGCTCGCGACTTACCACGCGTGATAATAAAAAAATGTAGCTTATGTTACTCACTGATAATGTAGCTCTTTAATGGTGAATTTTTTAAATCGGTCCAGTAGTTTTTGAGTTATTTCAATACATACAAAAATCGAAAAATAAAAATCATTATATTATTATTATAGACTAGGTGTTCTCGTGCTGCTTCCTCCGCATGAAATTATGAAAATTTTATTTATTTTTTTATATTTGTCAAATAGCAAATGTCAAAATGACATGACATGACAAGCCTTGACAATGTTACTTATTTGATGTTGGCAGCAACTTTTGGTCTCTTTCCCACATTAGGGTTTTACCCAAAATGTTTACCCCCTAAGTTTAATGGCGTGAAAATATATAGCGTAAAGCGTGACGTAAGTGTAGGGCTTTTTATTAAAATAAAGAAATTTTTTAAAAAATGCTGTGATTGCTGACATCTTAGGCAACAAAGAAGTGTGTGTTTACTTCTTATTATTATAGTATAGATATATATGTAATTGCCCGGCAGCGCGCGTGGGGCTGATGCACATCGGGGTGTTCATCCTGCTGCTGCTGTCGGGGGAGCGCAACTTCGGCGTGCGCCTCAACAAGCCCTACGCGGCCGCCGTGCCCATGGACATCGCCGTCTTCACCGGCACGCACGCCGACCTGCTGGTGCTGGTCTTCCACAAGATCGTCACCACCGGCCACCAGCGCCTGCAGCCGCTCTTCGACTGCCTCCTCACTATTCTCGTTAATGGTACGAACATACAGGAGCGTCGGTAACTCGAGTTTTTTTTTTAATCAACATCTGAAGATTTGCTCCCAGCTCTTTTTTGTACTGTTTTTTCTTTTTTGTTGTGTTCAGGCTCAGGGGTTTAGACACTTGACTTGTCATATACAGATCTTGGGGGCGAATACAATATACCAAAAGGTTTTTTAGTTTTCGAATTACATATGAACATAATATAACTGACATTCTTACATATATCGCCGAAGAATGTGTGAAGTCAACCAACCCGCACTTTGACAGCGTGGTTGACTATGGTCTAGTCATTTCTTACTTGGTATACAATAACCTAATTAATTAAAAAAATAAAGATTTACATTTATATTCATCTAATAATAATGTTTTCGTAATTTTCTGGTCCTTCGAGCTGGATATTTTAAGTGTGTATGTTGTTCAGTGTCGCCCTACCTGAAGACGCTGTCGATGGTGTCCTCGACGAAGCTGCTGCACCTGCTGGAGGCGTTCAGCACGCCCTGGTTCCTGTTCTCGCAGCCGCATCATCACCACCTCGTCTTCTTCCTCCTCGAGATGTTCAACAACATGATACAGTATCAATTTGATGGTGAGATTCCAAAAGTAACAGAAGTATCTATTTTGTTCCACTTACGACCGAATATTCAAATGACGTTTAAAATTGTAACTATTAATAAGTTACATTTCTAAGTACAGTCCCGGAAACCCGCAGTGTTCCACTTGAGGAAAAATTAGACAGCAGTGAGAGGTGCAAACGAAGGGATAATTATAAAAAGACACTAGCCGTGTATAACTAACAGACTTTTGTTATATACACATTTATAAGCTGCATTGTATTGATTTTTTTTCGCGTCTCGTTATAAATGTTCACACGATTGTAGCTTCTAAGACGGAACACCGCCAGTTTCCCCCACTGTACTTTAAACTTTTTCCGTCTATTGGGTTGTAAGCGCGTATGGATAACCACAATGCAGTTTATTTGTGCACATACACAAGACGTACGATGCAACGTACACGTACACAAATTATGAACTAACACGAAACGATACTAAACAATGTAAACTAAGAAAACACGTAAACAAAATGGCGGGCGAGAGGGCAAACGAGCGAGGTGTCAGCACAGTGTAGCAGCGCGAGGCGACTGTTGGCCGGCCGGCGCGGCGCGGTGCATGATTTCGCATTTTGCACGTTGTGCGTACGCGCCGCGGGCGGCGCTCTGCAGCGCGTTGAAATTATATAGTGTGAATGTGGAGTGTGCGTGTCTGTCTGTATGTATAAAGTTTTGCCATATAGAATATATAAATTGAAATGTGTTTGTGAGTTATGAATGTGATGTTATGTTGTGAGTTGTGAATGTTTATGTGTGAATGCGTAAATGTAATATTATAAATAAATGATAAATAAATAAATGTAGTGTAATATATAAATAAATAAATAAAGTACACTACACGCGTTTATAAAGCTAAGTGTATCGTTTCAGTATTTTTATTAATTTTTTATTTTCAACTTCTACAGACTCTTGGTCCGTACTCTTTTTTGCACAGTCTGTTTTATATTTTTTTTTGTTGCTTAATCCGTATATCATTAGTGAGTTCCCCTTTTTTTTATACAATTATACTACTGCTTTTACCTATACTAACGCGACAGTTGTCAGTGGCAACGGATGTATCTTTGAACCGAGTCTATGTAATTTTTTTCAGATCGTTTCAGTATTTAGACGTTAGAGTTGTTAATTGTATATTTCTATAAGTTTGTTGTGTATTATTGTACGAAGGCAACTCGAACCTGGTGTACACGATAATCCGCAAGCGCGGCGTGTTCCACGCGCTCGCCAACCTGCCGCACGAGCACCACGCCATCGCGCGCTCGCTGGCCGCCGCGCGCCCCGCCAAGCCGCTGCACAGGTACCATCCTCCACCCCCACCCCCACCCCGCCCCTTTCATTACTAGCTCCGCCCCCACCGAAGTTCCGCCCCTTTATATATCGTTCCGTCTCTCATTCAAAGCGGCGCGGAGCTCTCTTTAGTCAACGAGCCCCTTCATTCATATTCCACTGTCTTCATTCGTAGCCCCGCCTCTTTTATTTATGGACACACCCCTTAAATCATAACGCTTTTCTTAATCCTGATCTAGTGAATAAAGGTCACGACCACCTTCTACTCACGACTTCAACCCCCACTCTTTTATTTTTTATATACATTTTTATGTTTTCAATACTTGTGATCACTTAGATTACTTCTCCCTTCTTATGACGTCGTTCTCCTGATCAATTGTACATCTAACTATAATGTTGTTTTCCAGGAGTCGCAGCGCGGAGTCGGTGAAGGAGGCTGCGATGGAGGGCTCCCGGCCCGCGCAGCCCGCAGAGCCCGGCACGCTCAACGCCACGCTGCCCGACACGCCCGGTAACGTCATCACCTTCATCATCCTGCCCTTGTCCGACAGAACCCTGGCACAATATATTCATCTACCATACATTTACTGTCATATCTGAAATCTCTCCCTTCCCCTACCAATTGAGGTTTCCCCTAACTTTTTTTTTTAATTGCAAAAAACAGCGCTATGCTGCCTATCCCCCCCAAGTTCACTTACCTACTAAAAGGATGGTAAGTGAAAAGTTATCATTATTACCTCTACCTTACGCGGCGCAACAGGTTTTTATCCTCCACATAATTCTATCATCCGACATCTCTGTCACTCCCTTCTTGATCGTGTAACTTTTCATCCATCCATCTCTTTCTACTTCTAAATTTTTCCTTTATGTTTATAGCAATAACATCGATGACGGAACGCGAGTCTGCCCACCCCAAGGACCAGCTGTTGCCTACACGCAGCGGAGGAGACGGACAGGACCAAGAGCGGGACCACGACCAGGACCACGACCAAGAAAACCAGGATCAGGACCAAGAGGACCACAGGACCGCAACAGGACGCAAGACCAGTGACGCTAGTAGAGAAAATAACAATGACAATGTATCGCAGGTAAGTTTAAACTTTAGTTTTTTCCCTCGACTTTGTCTGCGTGTAATTAATAAAATTTTATTGTGGTATTAAAAAAATATGTTCATACAATTTTTTAGTCTGTGTTTCAAGATCTGTTGAGCCGTTTTAGAGATAGGTACCTATTGTTAGGAATTACATCCAATCGTTCTTTCAAACATTTGTTTTTATAATATCTATATGAGATATAGTTGGAATCTAATTGTAATTTTGTAATTAAATAATAAACTCAACATATTATGTATATTTTCTTTATATATTTGCGATTTTTTTCAAATTAGCGAACCTTTTAAAGTATCAAAATTTATTGACAGCTTCCAGAATCGGCGGCAGTTTTTGTTAATCAATCTACAAATGGGTCACATTGAGTGTACAGTCGGGGAATTTGTCAGTATTCCAGTTAAAAGCTACAGTTTTGTACGCATTAAGACGCGACATATGACCACTAAAACCAATATGTAGCTTTGAAACTCTGAACGTAAAAAATCGGTTTCACTGCTACTGTAAAGAAGGCAATGTAACTGTTGTATCACCGCGCCCGTGTCGTGTGTGTGTGGGCAGCGCGGCGGCTGGCAGGCGACGGGCGAGTGGGTGTCGAGCTGGCGCGGGCGGCTGCCGCTGCAGACCATCATGCGGCTGCTGCAGGTCCTCGTGCCGCAGGTCGAGAAGATTTGCATCGACAAGTGAGAACCAATATTACTCAGTATATTTATTATGTACTAAATGCCCAGTCAGTTTATTAGTGTAGAATAAAAAAAGGTGAACTTGTCAAAATTGGTGCAGCCTTTTCGGAAATTATTCTGAACAACATTATAGACACACAAAACATGTGTTTTCGTTATGAACGACGCAAATACATTAGTCGTACGTGTGCGAAATATGTTTTTTTATTGATGTTACATACAAACATTAAATTTTTTTCTTAATATTAAAATAGTTTTTGAGTTGTTTCAATACATACAAAAATACAAATAAGTGTAGTTATAGATAGGAGTAAATATATTTCTTTCTTTAATTTAATTGATATCAAAAAAAAATCTTATGGTCAAAATGCCCATACTTTTATGAAGCTATCTAAAGTTTATCCAGAAGGGTATAGCAAAGTGAATATTGCCAGGGGTCTGACGGACGAGTCCGAGATCCTGCGGTTCCTGCAGCACGGCACGCTGGTGGGGCTGCTGCCGGTGCCGCACCCCATCCTCATCCGCAAGTACCAGGCCAACGCCGGCACCGCCGCCTGGTTCCGCACCTACATGTGGGGCGTCATCTACATCAGGTAACACAACTGCCGTCTATATTTTACACAAAAATGGTAACACTCAACACTTACCACTGTACGTCCGGGTTTTAACTATGTTTTAAATATTTAAAATATCTAAGTTAAGTAAACAGCTGTTAAGCTAGCGATTACCACTTTGGTTAGATTACTTTCTTTAAGGTGGCGATAACTTATCCTTAAAATAGAAATTAAATCGATACGGACTTTATTTGATTCAAATTGATTTATAACTAGGTGTTTTTAAATCTTTTTTTTTGTGAAAATAAAAACTTGATATGGTTAAGCAATTTTGCAATTTTCATTTCTAAATATTTTATGATCGCCGTTGCAAGGTTATTTATATTTAAGTAAAGAATTATAAATTATTTTGTTTTTGTGTGTGATTTCATAATAACCATCACACTTACCGATAGAAAAAAATCAAGTGTGTATTTATGCAAAAATGTTTTTTTTTAAATTTTTCGAAATGAATTTTTCAGAAATGTAGATCCACCGATCTGGTACGACACAGATGTGAAACTATTCGAGATACAACGCGTGTGAGTGCGGGCGGCGAGCCTAGTCTTACACAAACTGACCCGCATTTGTTATCTTACATTTTAGTAACAACACTGATGCGTTTTAATCTTAAATCTATCTTTAATTTTCAATGCTATTGTAAGCTAGTTTTATGTTTTAGCGGAATTAGATAGTTAAAAGTACATAAATAAAATATAATATAATATTTAATTACATTTTATACGAAAATATAGCAAAAATTAGGTAAATTTCATCTCATTTTTAATTATTACTCCCAAAAAACGAATAATAATCAAATAAAACTTTATTATTATAACCTAAATAAACGCGGTATAAAGTAAACTTAGGAATAAATTGAATATAAGCAAAATTTGTTTATTAAATAATTCCTAAGTATAATTTTATACCGAGTTTTTAAGGCAGTATCTACAGTCGAACAAATCTTCACTAATTATCTAATGTATGAGTAATATTTTATTATAACATTTATACTTTCATACGTTACTTATGTTTAGATAAATAGAACACTTTAATTAAATAAAAATATGACTTCCTCTTTTACTTAGTTCTGTAACTTGTAACTTTATTAAGTGTCTTATCAATACATTTTTGTGTCTTATACAGTTCGTGATATAAGATGTAAATACTTAGAAAATTTTCATTATAGCACTCCAGAAATAAAAAAAAAAAAAAGTATATTCCAGAATATAAGAGCTTAGTACAATTGGATTTTTTTTTATAAAAATATTTAAACACTTACATTTTATATTAAAACGCCGAAATATAATTTATCTGCTAATTGTATGAATTTGCATTTAAATAGTTACCACTGTTTACTATTTTTTATTTATTTCATTAATGTTTTAATTTGCGCGATCATGGCAACATTTGAATTAAATGTCAAATGTTCATCTCGTTTGTTTTTGGCGGGAACTTTTATTAAATGAAGTTTTTATTGTAATTGACTAAAAATACAGAAAAACAACGATTGCTGTGTAATCAGACATGCCTTATGTTATTTATATGACAAACTCATGCTCTCTTATTCTTACATCTATGGTATTCAAATTGCTTTGTTTTTTTTTTCAATCAATTTTAACATTCCACTAAATAAGAAAAAATGTGCTAAATTGCAGTTAATGGGAATTTTGAATAGATAAATACAATCATATTAAAATTACCACTGCATTTAATTTGAAAATTCTTTTAAATATTACCTAGAAATATTCATAAAACGATACTTTTAAACGATGCGATGTTAACGTCTCTTGTGAGGTATTTTATACGTAAATATAAGCTGTCCTAATCTTATGAATACTGTAATAGTATAAATTATTTATAATCTATGCTTTATTTTTTTTAAATCAAATAAAACACATGACTAATGTTACGGCGAGTTCGACATACTTGTATTCATTATGTTTCTAGATTTCGACTTCTAATTTTCCTTTATTTAATTTTTAACCAATAATTACATAAATATATTATAAATTAACGCTTTTAATGTTATTGAGGTCGGCTGTTTATGACTTTACTAGTCATTTTCTACGCTTTGCTCGTATTTGTCGTGATGTTTTAAGTTTTAACTTAAAGTTAAATATAATTGAGTACTCTAATTCTGGATTGTGCAATATGTAAATAAAAGCACGAAAAAACAAATGTTCATATACTTTTTAAACTGATAAAAATAATCTCGTTGTAAATTCAGAACTGAGAGTACACACTTTTGACTAAACTGTACAACTGTTTAGTCTCGCTTTTATTCCTTGTACGGAGATAAATTACTCGATATTCAGTTGTGCAACTAAACAGTTGAATTGTCAGCGAAACGACAATCGCACAACTGTCGTGCGATAGTTGAGTCAAAAGTGCCCGCTGTAAATTTACTAAAGACTGTGTAGATGATTTAACATTTTTAGTGCAATCTAACACATTTTAGATCAGTTTAATGCTTAAAAAGTTGAGAAGACACTAAAAGTGTTAAAAAACTACACTAACATTTATAATTGGTATCTAGTTCACTTTTAGTTTATCTAAACTAAAAGTAATAGGGACCCTAGAAATAAAACCGTAATAAAGACATAATAGTTATTAAAACAAAAGTGCAAAGCGATAAAATAGTAAAAAAAGACCCATTTTCTTTTCAACTTATTGTAGGATTCGAATCTTGTTTTTAAGGAATATTTATTTAGTACCAAATAAAACGCATTTTGTTAGATATCGATTGCTTCTTCAGTTAATGTATTTTTAATTGTACTCACATTGTAGTATAATTTAGTGTAAATCTATTATTTATTTTGTCACCAATCTATGTACTTAATGTTATTAATTAAAAATATATGAGAATACGAGCTTTAACTTGTTTTTTTACTGGTAACCTTTGTCGTTATGTTGACCACAAATGCATGAGCAACGATGGACGAATTTAGTCAATATACAGTCAGTACTCATTACATCGAGTCAGTGGCTCAGGGGTTTAAGTACTTGACTAGAAATCTACATTGGAAATTATATTCCGGCTTTACCAATGTAATTTTCAAATTTCATACATAATTTTACCTCACGTTCCAGACAGCGCTCTCAAAGCTGGATGTCGATCAAACTTATTACATAGATAACTACTAAGTTAATAAGTTGGGTAATAGGTTGGAACAAGGGCGAACCTAAGTTTTGAACTCCACGCGGAAGAAGTCGTGGGCAACAGCTAGTACTTTATAAAATAACCAATACTGTAGCCATAATGGATGTAAATAAAACAAGAATGACATTGAGAATATAATTTATTAAGCGTCGTACATAGACGACCGGAGCCGCGCGGACTCCATACAAAAATAACGCTCGCAGCGAAACGAACACACATCGAGTACACTAACTATTGTTAACTGTCACATCAACTTTTAACAAACTACCCTCAAAATATAACAAAATGGACACTAAGTAGAATTTCATTAAACATATCGACGGGTGAAAGGCTATTTCAACTTCCATTTTAGGCGATATTGACTTATATACTAGCTTTCGTACCGGTAGAGGTAGACCTAGAAAGAGATGGATGGATTGCGTGAAAGGTAACATTATCAAAAAGGGAGTGATGACTGAGATGACGAATGATAGAGTGCTTTGGAGGACGAAAACTCGGTGCGCCGACCCTACGGGAGTAGGATAAGGCATGGGAGATGATGATATACCAGCTTTCGTCCGAGACTCTGTCCGCGTGAAATAAAAAAAAACAAAAGTGAGTAGCCTATGTGTTCTTTCAGGCTATCCTCTACGTCTTTGCCAAATTTCATCGAGATCTGTTCAGCCGTTTTGGATATAAACTCTAACAAACATCCATCCATCTAAACTTTCGCATTTATATTAGTAAGATATCAGAGTCAGCAAAATTTTTCTGCGTCGTTTGAACCGGGTTTCATAAAGATCAGAGCACTTTTGTGGCGCTTGAAACAATCAAAATGGAGGAGTCGTTTTTTTCTAAAAATTTAAACTCTCCATGGCTCTCTTGAACATTTAACATAATGGCGCTTGAAACATCCTTTGACCCATCAATATATTATTTGGTAGTAAAAATAGTAAAATAAATCACTGCTCTGTATTCTTTTAAGGTATCAATTAAGTATTTTCTATTACCAATAGAAATGGAAAATACTTTGAGGGTAGTTCACAACTTATATACTAAAAGACAAGATTTTTGACTAAATCATAATATTTTTTACACTATTTTACATGAATTAAATAAATTGTGCAAATATAAAAATGAGATCGAAGACACTATTTCACAAAGTCATATAAGTTTAAAATTATTGAATATTTTACAGCGTAACCAGGAATATGAAAATCCCGACAAGGAGGTAATAGTTGTCAAAGAATTCTATATTTCTGCAAATATGACGAATAATTGTATATTTCTGGTCAGACCTTTCTTTAGGCCTTCCATTATAAAAGATCAGGCAGACAAAACTACAAAAAACTAAAACATCAATAATATTAAGTACATTTTTTTTTAACTACTACCATAGATGTACAACCTATAAATATGTAATCTAAAAGCGGCTCGCCGACATTGACCAGGAGGTCGCGTTAATGAGTAAAAAAGCTGTCGCAAAAAATCTGCGTCCGAAGAAATAATGCAGGCAGTTAGCGACAGTCGAGGCAGGCTCTAGTCGCGGTTTCGGTCGCAGCAGACAGTCCACACCCTCGACTGTGGCCAACTGGTGCGAGGGTTTTCCTGACTCGCAGGATTGTTTAGCTCATTTAGCTCAAAAACCCTCGCTGCCTGCATCCCCTACTGCGGCGCCTCAGGCAGTTGAAGATGTCTTGAGTTTAATACCCAATATTATATTTGGAAAATGTGTAAAAAAAAACATTTTTTTTTTAAATTTAAAGAAAATTTATAAATTTACCATTTCCGGGCACAGAGAAATGGTAAAGTAAAAGATTAGATTTTTTTTTACTTTGGTACTTTATTATAATTTATTTTTTTTTTGCTTAATTTTACTATTTAGTTAAAAAAAACCGATATTTTTATGTTCGTGATATGCTCCTTTTTGTTTTCTAACTTGAAGATTATCAACAATAACATGTGAACAGCATGATATTAAAAAAATCGATTGTAAGTGCCCAATGGGATTTATAACCCAGGTATAGAATTCGAAACTTGAGGTATTTAAGGGTTTTACACAAAGTTGTAAAACACATCAGGGATTCTCACTACTGTGCCGCACTTTTGTGTGGCGCCATTTTTTTATTATTATCTTGTTATCCCTTAATAAATGTCAGACTACCCACTAAACCCCGCGATGTTCTCCTTTGCCCAACCAGGCCGTGGCATCTACGTTAGTTTATCCACGACCCGGCAAGGGGGAGCCCCTTGGTAGGGGCTCGACTCCCTCAATAAATGTCTAGTATATGTTAGTTTATTTCGTTTATTTAAAATTTTTGTCATAAACTATTTATGTATTGTAGTAAGTAAATATTTTTTATCTTTTTCTTTGAGTGCCACCAAATTTCGAAATTGTTAAAAATGTGCCGCAACAAAAAAAGGTTGAGAATCACTGGACTATATCTATAGATTATACATCTACGGCTACAACTTCTATACACATTGGACGACAAACTATACATTTACATACAATTTAAAACATTTAGAACACATTTTAACGTAGCCTTCCACTGCAGTGACACATTGACTGCTCTTGTAGAAGCCTACATCTATATTTTTTTTATTACTACATAAACATATATATCGTAGTTACATTTAAACATTGAAACTAAATAAGCATATAACTAACAATGAAATTAAATTATTGTATTTCATAGCTAATTAACAATTTCAAAACATTTTTTTGTCATAGATAAAAAATTTACTCTTAAAAAATAATTATCAGTCAAAATTAAATAAATATCAAATAATAATCATTTAATTATTAAATAAATAAAATTATACAATCATTAAACCATTGCAGTCTTTGTTTTAATTTAACTAAATCCAAACAATCTAGATTTTACTATGCATTCGTCTGGATATATGTTATAGGGTAAAATGGGGGGTCATTAAGGGATTTAACACCTCCCATAGTCAAAAATTATAAAAAAAAATTCAAAATACTAAGGTTCCAATAATACCTAGAGACTTGTAAAAATAACTGAAAAACTAACAGTTTTTTATTAAAGCATTCTCTTTGGAGTAAAGGTTTTTTTACCAAAAGTCCCCCCCCCTTTTTACTAAAGGCATGTCTCCATCTAAATCATTAACTGTAGACTTATTACATTTAAAAAAAATACTTATATGCACAAAACATAATGAATATTAATTTAGCTATTGTTTTTATTTTTAATTGTTTTCGTATACTATTGATTTATTTAAATAGAAAAAAGTACTATATTTTCAAACACTGAAACCTTACATTAGACTAACATCAATTATTTTTTGGCAGATTTTATTTGGTCTTTATTTTGTTCTAGACTCATCTAATATCGAATTTATGTACAAGCTAACACAAGTTATAACAAATATTGCACAATTAAGGAACTTATAGTAATTTTACAATAAATATAAAGAATAAAATAGTTGGAAAACTCATAATACAACTAAAAACTCCAGATGGACTTAAAAGCAAATAGTATCACTTATATATACTACAAAAGTCATACAAAAATAACAAAGCTATATAAAAGGAAGATTGAAAGATTATAATGCAAACATCGTAGACAGTGTATACTGCATTGTACTAGAGGCTATATACTCACTAGGCTACAACTATTCAACTTAACAGGCTACACAATCTACCCTAGCTCTGTGGGAGCTAGGAAGATATTGTACAAACAGAACACTAACGTCGCCAGTCTTTCAAGCTATAACGAAAACGAGATTCATAAATTCGTTGAACACGACAGCGAGATTATAATTGTCCTTTTAATAACTTGGAACTATCCAAATCGTGGAAAGAATCAAGGTAGCCGCAGAGGTGAGTTCATCGGGCTGGCATTGTGTTGTAGCTTGGTCAGCTGCAGCTATATGATGAACTCGTGTTGTTGGGGCTAGATGACGAACTCCCCGGGCTAGCTGAGCGCGCTGTAGGCGGGCGGGGGCGCGGCGGCGCGGTCCGGCAGCAGCACCGCGATGTGGTACGGCGGGGGAGCTTCGCCCGCTGTGCGATCCGCTATACGCTCGGCTGTCCGCTCCGCGGTGCGTTCCGCTGTCCGCTCCGCCGCCCGCTCCGGCAGCCGCTCCGCTCGCCGCTCGGCGCGCTCCGCCGCTGGCAGCAGCGCTGGCAGTTCCTCTGCTACCTCTGCTATCTGGAGAACATTTTAGACTAGCTTTAAGTTTGTGTACTACGTGGACAAATTAAATTGAGTTTATCAACTTACACAAGAAAAAATAATTAATAAAATAAATTGAGATTCACTATAAAAAAATTGTCTAAATATGGACATTCATTTAAGATGAAACATTAAACAAACAGCATGACGTCACTTTTTCATGGTGCAATTGTCATTGACAATCATACTAATTTTTTAAATGCAAAAATTTAGATGGATGGATATTTGTTAGTTTATAGTTTTACAGCCTTAGCGGCTGAACGGATCTCGATGAAATTTGACATTTGACATTTGAACATAGTCTGAAAGAAAACATAGACTATTTCTGTTGTTTTTTAATTCCATGCGGAAAAAAAGTTAGTTTTTTCATAGTTCAGAATACAGAGAAAGGATCTACCCTATAGTAAACAGTGAGGTTATTGGAGACGCTGACAGTTATTTTGGGAAACTAAAATATACACAAATCAATTTATTTTTGACTGGCTTCTTAAAAGAAGATGCCCAATTTATTTTATTTTATATTATTTATTTATATTTTAAGTAAAGCAAAAAAAGTGTAGCTTGAAATAAAGTTTATTATTATTATCAATCTCATATCTTTATTTTCTTATTTTTATATATAATATATTTCACATGATTTTCTTAAAAAAATAACAAAATAAAACATATTATATAAA